GAGGCACCCATGACAGTGTACGGTGATCCCCTTGACAGCCTTGTCAAAAAGACATCACTGCAAGTCTTGGGAAGGAAAGGGGACAGGGAACAGTTGCAACACGCCAGTCCATCTGAAAGTCCGAGCAATACTGTCTGAAAACAAATGCCAGACTCCATAAGAGTAGTGTCAAAACTTTTCTCCTTTACGGATTGGAATGCTGGCAGGGAGACATAAACAAGATCAAAGTTTTTATAATCAGTAAAAATGATGCCACATCTTTTTGCTAGAAAAAATATTCTCATATAAAGAACTCTAGAAAAACATTACTACAATAACATCAAAAAGCCAGAATGGACCAGTATCACATAACAAAGATCACTCACAAACAAAGTGGCATTAAACTGTGATGACCAAGGTGAAGGACGAGAGGCACAAAACACAGTCCAGGAAAGCCCCAGACAGGCTGCCAGTGCCTCTCAACAGACGATGAGGACTAACTAACGTGTACCGTAAGGTGCTCCAGGTCGACAGTTTGACCTGAACAGCAGGTCAGACATCTCTAAATTGTTCAAAATTGTCTAAATCTGTTATCATTGCTTGGACATAGTGCCTCTCAGGTCCTGAAGTGCTGTTCAGCAATTGATCCCGACCTCAAAGTAGTCAAGAAAATGCATGGACAAATACTGTTTTCAACATTTTCTATCTCATAACTTCTGAGGAAATATGAAAGTTTTGGACTTTCCTTTAGTATAAAAACTTTCACTGTTGTATTTAATTTATAATTAATAAATTATTATCATTATAGAAATGTGGGAGAATGGGAAGCTCTTGGGGAAGCATTTTAAAAAAGGCTATTTTTGGTATTGCACTTATTGTTTCATAGTTCCAAGATGCTGAAATCCCCATTAAACTGCCTGTATCCACTGGAAATTAAATTGTCGAATTATTTATTTGGAGCTAGTTTTTATAAAGGACAGTGTTTGTGATGCAGCCAGGCCAGCAAGACAGCTACTTATTCCCACTTAATCCACTGTGGAGTTTTTTATTTATGTTTTTGGCAGTCTGGCTCAAGTGACCATGAATATTTCCCAGCTGTGGTACTGATACGTGGATGAAGAGAAGATTTCATTTCAATTCAGCATCCTGTGGATTCAGTAATAGTTGGAAATATTTTTATGTTTCCATGTCAGTGATAGCCATGGTCAGAGGCATTATGGTTTGTTTGTCTTGTTTTTCCTTCAGATCTGGCAAAAACATTCATTTGGGTTCAACATGATTAGATTTTAGTGGTCAGGGTTGCTGTGACCCACACAACACATTTTGGGCCGTAACTACATAATGTATGTTATTTTCAGCAAAGGATTTACATTATATGGGTAACTTATTTCAACAATGTCAGCTTCAATTAGTTAAAGCTGTTATACAATATTTTTCCATCCATCCATCCATCTGCCTGACCACCTCTATTGCGTTCTAAAGTTCGTGAAAGTCTGAGTCCACAGTTCAGTAATATAAAGTGGTAAAGTATTCACTATATCCATAGGTTTAGGGAGAAAGGGAGCTAAAATATAACTTTAGTTGTTTTTACTTGTCGGTAGTGTTAAAACCTCCCAACAACTGGTTCTCACTATATATGGTATTAGTACTGCTGCAACCCAGTAAACGTGTGCAGGGATATTGGATTGGATTGTTTTGGATATGCCTGCCTCTTACAACATAAAATGTTGCAAGAGGCAGGAAGTGTACTCAGTCATAAAGAATTCTGCACTGTTCTTCCGTGTGTACTTTCATTAGTATGTCCTGTACTGAGGCCATCTGAACAAACCACACATTCCTTGAACAGTACAGAATGATAAAAGCTGATTATTGTAAGAGTAATGATGAAAGTTCAGTCTTGGCTTTGGAGAACATTGGTTGGGAAAGGGAATTAAATACAAACGCAGCACTTGAGGCTGCTCTTTTAAAGTCAAATGGAAAAATCAGCATTCCAACTTTCCCCCACAAACACACATGCTGATGTTTAGCAACTATAATGTTTACCACTTTATTACGCTAGCTTGTTTACGCCGTATAAAGTGCACTAAGCAGAGGACTCCAGCTAAGGGGGATGGACAATGGGATTTTTTAAGCTGATGGTGGCAATAAATAAATCATCACAAGATGGATTTATCCTCTGTGGGCCATCAGTGCCTATATAAAAATAATGGAAATGCATCCAACAATAATTCTGTAATTCTCAGTAGGCAACAATTAACCTGAACCAAGGTGGTGACCCTGCTGACTAACCAACAGGGCCTCATGGAGAGACTCACCAATAACATCCTTCCTATTTTTCTGCTGTTTTCAAAAACAAGAATTGACTTTTTTTTAAAAACAAGTTATATGATACTAACAGTTTTATCTGTTTGCATACTTCCCATACAGATTGCTGCCTACCTGGGCCCTCTTTCACAAAGCAGGTTCAACAGATTCTGATTTGATTGACCCCCCCAGAGATGAACAAGAATGGGTTTTTAGCTCAAGGATTCATCATGGCAACAAATAAATAAAGAGTCAGAATACTTTATTAATCGCTAAGGAAATTATGTGGTCACAGTTTCTCCAAGACAGTAAGCACAGTAACTGACTAAATTAAATAATATAAAATATGAAAATATTGCAAAGTTGCAAAATATAATAAAAAAGTTAATATTTACAAATAGCTCAATTATAAATATCCCAGTATAAAACCCAAATTAAATATATATGGTTGAAATTGAAGTGCCCCCTTTTTTTAAACCTTTATTTCTCTGTAGACAATGTGCAAATATTAACGGTGTGCAACTGCTGCACTGTGTACTGTGCATTAGATGGGGGAGTTGTACAGAGAGATGATTTTCTGTGTCATCTCTCAGAAAATCATTTGGGTAATCTCAGTCTCTCACTGAACGTGCTCCTGTGACTGGCCAGCACATGATGGGAGTATGTGGGAGGTCTACTCCACCTTAAGAGAGTCCAACTCCATCCTCACGACATTACTGGCCTCGCAGATCAGTTTATTGAGTTTGTTGGCATCTGTGACCCTCAGCCTGCTGCCCCAGCATGCAACAGCACAGAGGATGGCGCTGGCCACAGAATCATAAAAAATCCTGAACATTTACCAACAGATGTTAAAAGATGTCAGCCACCTCAGAAAATAGAGACAACTCTGGCCCTTCCCGACTCTGGTGTTTTTCACCCAGTCCAGTTTATTGTCAGTGTGTACCCCCTGGATTGATACAAGGGTCAGCAGTTTCCTAGTCCTCCGAAAGTCATCTCCTTGGTCTTTGTCACATTGAGCTGCAGATGATTCTGCTCACACCATGTGACAAAGGAGTCAACCACAGCCTGGTACTCTGTCTCATCACCCTCACTGATGCATCCAACCACCGCAGAGTCATCAGAAAACTTCTGAAGATGGCAGGTCTCTGTGAAGTAGCTGAAGTCTGTGGTATAGAGGGTGAAGAGGAAAGGGGAGAGGACAGTCCCTTGTGGTGCCCCTGTGTTTCTGATCACCTTGTCAGACACACAATGTTAAAGACGCACGTATTGTGGTCTTCCTGTCAGGTAATCAACAATCCAAGACACGAGAGAGGCATCAACCTGCATCGCTGTCAGCTTATCACCCAGGAGGGTCGGCCTGATGGTACTGAATGAAAAGTCAAACAACATGACCCTCATTGTGCTCACCAGCTGATCCAGATGGGCGTAACTATGGTGATTTGAAGATTCAAACTTGACAATTTTAGATTTCAACATGTGGATCAGCAGAGTTACACCATAAAATGTTGTTAAGAGTACATTCAGACTTTTTGAACTGAAGTGAAAATTATTCCAGTGGTTGTCATCTCTGATAGATGACAGACTTCACTGTGTACTGTAGCACTGCACATGGTTGAAATGACAATAAAGCCGCTAGACTTGACTTGACTGAATCTAAATATCTTATTATATTTAAAAAGGATTTTATATGTGCAAAGACATTATGTTCTTTGCACACATAGTATGGTCTTTGACATCGACTGCATGAACGGGGAAATTCAGTCAGTCAGATGGATCAGGTGCAGCAGGAGGGGAGAAACAGTTTTTGTGGATGTTAGGTTCTCAGTCTGTTACCCTGGTAACTGTTTTATGTTAGCTCTTTTAATGGAACATAAAATCCAGATTTTCCCTCAGTCTTAATAAGCTCCTGCTTTTGAGAACACAGCCCCAGACTTATTCTGCATCCACATATTTGTAGAAAAAATGAATAGACAAATTATTTCCATTGTATCACAAGTGAAACGTTCTAAACTTGCTAACATTGTTGTTAATGTAATCCTAAGTACTGCAGTAATCTAGTTGTGAGTGTGATCACATGTAAGGACTTCAGTTACACTTTTTTAAAACAACTAAAATGTCAGTCTGTGGTAAAAAACCAACAGCCCATTTAGTTTTCATGCAGAGATCACCTTCATCCTTGCTAGCCTGTTAACTGAAGGTTCTTTTTTTAGATGTACACTGACATCTAGTGGTTACAATGCAACAATACAACAATCCTGACAGTATGTAATAGTTCTGCTCCGATGTTACATTAGAATGCTGCTTATGCAGTGGTGCATTTGCAATTTAAAATGTTATATAACTGCATAACGACAGAAATAACACCTACAGCAACAAACTGGATTGTATCAACAACATATTGCAGTATAAAAATTGTATACCGTCTGCTAAATTGAGTTTTACTTGCAAACAGCTTTTCTACTCTGTGTACTTAAAAGCATTTCAAACTACAAGCCATATTCACTCATTCACACACGTTCCCTTAGCACTTAGTTACATACCTTCAGTCACTTTTTACCACCCACTCTAACCAATGAACCTGGGGCAATTTGGGGTTTGGTATCTTGCCCAAGAATAGTTTGATGTGCTGGCTGATTCAAACCACCAACCAGTTAACAACCCACTACCTCCTGAGTCACAGCTGCCAACAAATTTCAGCTTATTTACACGACAATCAATACATTTTCCAATTACTTTTATTTTTTTATTTAACTTTACAAGACCAAACTGAAAAATCTTTGCACACATTGACACATCTGTGTGTGATTTACTCCCACATCCTCCACAGTACTACAAAAATATAAAATATTCAACTAAAATGTTATGACAGAAACCAAAAAAAAAAAAAAACATATTCACAGATCTTCTGTTTGGAGTGAACTGACAGACTTTTGCTCTGAACAAACCAACGGTACAGTTGACAAAATTATAAACTTAAGAATCATACATATCGCTCAGCGTTACGTTTGGTGAGTCTTTTTAGACAAAGAGCACATACAGTCACATAACTAAAATTATGCGATTATGTTTAAACATAATGAGTATTCTTAGCTTTGGAACTTAAAATGGACTTTTTACCTGATCTAATGTTCTGAAATAGCCTAAATATCCTGTTAAATGAAAATGTGGCTTGAAAAATGGCAACTTGCCAAAATAACACCTATTAAACACTGGCTTACAAAAGTTCTCTCTTTTTTTTCATCGACATGTTTTACATCTGACAACAAAACAAAAATTAATAATTTGTCTCATGTGAGTGGATGATGTTGACAAAAAAAGAGATTTTATCTCTTCTGTGGGCTGAAATTGTACTGGAGCAAACCCTGCTGCACACCAGGATGTAATCGAAGTTAGCCCACCCTGAGAGGTGGAGCTACAAGGACAACGCCGTCACCTCTCACAAACAGCATGGGGATGTTTCTCTTGGTAGACTGAAATGAAACAAAGATTCACACTTAAAATATTTCACTCCTTAAAATATTGTATACACATAGCTTCCAATAAATGTGTTTAACAACAAAGACTAAATATATTTTATTTAAAAATTAAAATATGCATTTGCTTTAATTACATTTTTGTTGTTAAGATGATCCCTGTGATTTTCTCAGTAATGTTAACCCTTGTTAAAACAGAGCAGCGTACAGACTGCATTTTTGAGCCCATGATATAACAAATAGTCAGTGAAATATTATCCATTAAGTACTGTCTGTTATCTGAATGACACATTAACGGTTTTAAAAGGTGAAACAGGTTAAACTCAAACCAATGCCACAATAGACCACCAGCACCTTAAACCAAAAGGGGATCGGGACTGGAAAGAAAATGATGTGGCACCTTGTAGAGTTCTTCATAAGTCTCCTCATCGATCTCCACTGTCGTCACCGTCTCCTCCACATCACCAAGGATCATGTTCAAGTGCTGATCGTAAGCCTGGGACAAACAAGAACAAATAAGAGTGCAAAGTAAAAGAGAACAAAAACACTCCAAAAGAAATTGAAGTGCTTGTTTTTAAAAAGTCTTCCGAGCAGCCAGGGTCACACCTGCAGCACTCAAACAACAAAAAAACAGCAACAACAACAATAAAACCCAGTACAAGACTCACATGAAGTCGGCCTCTGAGCTCGCGGTCATTCCTCATCTTGACGTAGATTCGCTCATCTAGACTGAGCCTGATCAGATCAAGTGGCTCCTCAACTGTGTTTGTAGTTGGTTGCTGCAGCACACAGAAAAAAATGATACATGTATTAGGACTGGGCGATATATCGAGTTTTTAAATATATCGATATATTTTTAATACAAGATAAGAGATGTGACAATATTGTTTATATCGACATAGTCTATGTTACATTATAATTATACTATATATATAAACCACAAGTTTGCCTCTCTCTCCACTTTTGTCTGTTACTCTGCCTCGCCTCTCTGCTTCACTGAACACAACTCCCCCTCCCCCATCGCTTCACCTGCAGGTAACGACAAGATGGACACGGCAGCTATCAAAGAGGAGCTGGTCGGTAAAAAGAAAACATTTGGAGATTACTATTTTAGTGCTGCAGTGTTACTCTCGTTAAAATGACGTTAACGCCATAACTGTATTAACGCGGCAAATCTCCGTTAACGAGTTACCGTGGATCGCCCCGTTAGTGGGGCGTGTTGAGGCCGTGCAGCTAGCACTACCAGTATTTTCACCATTTACAACAGCGCCATAAAGTGCAAAATGAAGAGTATGTGAAACTGTGCGCTGTATCCCAGACCGCAAAGTCTCCCAGCCTCCTGCCCCGAAACAAACTACCTTACAAAACTCGTATACCGTATTTTTCGGACTATAACCTATAAAAAAAAATCGACAGCGCGCCTTATGTATGAATTCTGGTTGTGCTTACTGACTGCAAACCGATTTTATGTGGTACACGGCGCTCAGCAATCTGTCAAAAATGCTTTAGTACGACTTTGGTAAACTATGAAGCCACACCGCTTGATGGATTGTTGGAACATTTTGGCTACCGTAGTCTGGAGCCTCGCGGAGTGATGCATACTGTGCTTCAACGTAATATTACCGTATTGTGTGCGTACAAGGACCACAAATGGCACCTGTAAGAGACACGGTTACGAAGCAGATTTCAAACTCAAGGCTGTCAGTCACGCAGTAGAACTTGGGAACAGAGCAGCTGCAAAATCTGTCGGTCTTTGTTATTATGCTCAGCGTCTTTTAATTTACATTTTGACTGCACAATTGTGAGCGTTTTGTTATGCACAAAAACAACATTAAAAAATATATCGAGGTATATATCGTATATCGCCATCCAGCTAAAGAATATCGAGATATGAGTTTTAGGCCATATCGCCCAACCCTAACATGTATGCTTGACATATCAACAGGATATTAACATTCAACTGCCTTAGAACATTTTCTGTGAGATCATCCCTGATTTACTTAAAGATGTTACGGTCTAAAGTTTGGACATTTAATGATTGCTGTGTAATTTTAGCTACATGTATTTAAAACTTTAACTACATGTAAGTTACTTTTTTTTTTAAATGTTCTGTCCATCCAATTTTTTGTCTTCCGTACTTCAAAATCGGAGGCAACACTTGTACATGAATATCCAAAAATAAAACAATGTATAAAAATAAAAGCTGGAAACTTTCACTAGTCTTCCCTACCATATCTGTAAATTGGCCCATGTCATCAGACATCAAAAAATGCCTGAGCACTGGCTAAATAAATATGAAAAAATGTAAGCAGTCCTATATTGGAGCACACACTAATAAAAAAAACAAACCACAAAAAAAACCCTATATAACATTCGGAAACTGTCGCATTTCATAATAATGTAAAATGAAACGTGGAATATTTTCTAATATGGTCGAGCAGCAGGCACAGCTGAGATGCAATGACCTATTGCTTGTTCTGCCCACTCGCTTTCTTTGCAAACTCCTTATGCCCAAACCAAAAATAATATGAATTTACTTTAATACAGATTAAAAACACAACAAATACCCCCATGTATAGGTCTCTTCTCAAGTTAGCATTTTCTGTGACAAGAATAATCGAGTGATTATCATTTCTAAATGACATAGGCCAGAATTAAATGCAGACGTTTCGAGCAGTTTTGGAGTGAACAGCCTAAATATTTGAGGCAAAGTGAAGAAACGTCGTGTTCCATGAGTTAACTGAGTTTTCAGTGAGTTGTTTCATGTTTAGCCCAAATAGTTGTGAACTGCAACCCAGACGCTACAGACCTAACTAACCCAACTTTAGACTAAAAACAGATAAAGAAAATTAAACGTGGACATACATTAGCGGTAATCCTGCGCTAACACGCTCTGCTCTGCCTAAAGAACAGTGTTGCAAATCCTACTGTGTCTAGCATGTCTAGCATTTACACGCTAGACATGCTAAATCAGCTAGCTTTTGACAGGCCCTTCCGCGCTTTTACCACATCAGTTACGAACAAAGTAACACAATAAGCTCGTTACGTCAAGTACACGGGTAAAACTGTCTCCTCTTCACCACTGGGATAATTACATACACGCTGTTAAAAGAACAACAGCAGAATTGAAGGCAGTTACACCAACCTGCTCAACTTCGTCCGCCATGATGTTTGAGTCTGCGTCGAATGACCGAACCGGTGCGGAGGTTGCCAGGTCTGCAAAAAAACCGCGTTTTTACATAACACAAAGCACGCCTCCTGGATGAGACTGTAAACATAACGATGGAAGAAGGATAGGGTTACATTACTTAATTGCATTTTAATTATTTATGTTGTTACAGCTATAGGCAAGGTGGGGGTGAGATTACATCAGGGATCTGCTTGTTTTCAGTGGTAATGGACAGGTTTACAGTGGAGGTCAGGCAGGAAACCCTATTAACTACGATCTTTGCATCTTTGATCTGTAGTGAGAGTAGTGAGAGTAGGGAGAGGAAGAGAGCCTGGAGAGGTGGAAGTATGCTCTTGAGAGAAGTGGAAGGAAAGTTAGAATATGTAAATATGTAAATGAGAGGGAGACAGTGAAGCTGCAAGGAGCTGCAAGGAGCAGAGATAGTAAAGGTAGATGAGTTTGGATACCTGGGGTTGATCAAGGAAAACATTGGATCAAGAGACGAAGAATAAAGTGCAAGCCAGGTTGAGCAACATTTGTGACAGAAAGATATCAAGCAAGAGTGAAAGGGAAGTCTACAAGATGGTCGTGAGATTTATTGCAATCGATGGTTTGGAGCTGGTGACAGAGCTGAAGATGGGAATGACCAGGATGGACAGGATTAGAAATGAGTATGTCAGAGGCTGAGGTGATGCAGTTTGGAAAGTTGGAGAGGTAAGACTGAGACGGTCTGGACATGTGATGAAGAGGGATAGTGGAAATGAAGTCAGTATGGAGCTGCCAGGAAGGAGATAAAGAGGGAGAACACAGAGAAGCTTCATGGATGCAGTGGAGGAGGATATGCAGAGCGTTGATGTGAAAGGGTAGGATGGTAGAGATAGGGAGAGATGAAGGCAGATGATCTGCTGTAGCAACCTTTAAAGTGCGTAAATAAAAGAAGGAGAAGAAGCAATATTTATTGTCCAACTTATTTTAAAATCCATGGTACACATTCAAAAATTAAATATTTTTTATTGTCATTGTCCTTGTAATTATAACTGTAAATTTGATTTATCCAAATAAATACGAATAAGCACTCATACGTGCAGGAGAGTGAAGTGCAAACCTGGCAACCCGAATGAGGACGCTAGCAGTTCCTCTGTCCTTTATATTGCCCGTCTGCTTTTCCAGACTTTTCCATCCCCCGCATCTCCGTACAGTGCAACGGCAGATCAGAGGTAGGTTTTTAAACATAAACTATATTTATATATATATTTACATCATTTTTTCTGTTTCTGATGGCTCATTTCTTCACGAAATTTCAGCCTTACTGATGCGGCGTATTCTGTCTTGTTTTTCTGTTTTAGTAAATGCAACGCAACAAAAGTTTACAGTGTCAGACCTTCGCATTAACAGGTTATTGTGAGTTCATATTAAAACAAGCATCCAATACTTTAATATTACAGCTATAAGGCAAACAGTACAGGTTAAACCCACAATATCGTTGTTGTTGTTGTTGTTTTAAGGAAGCTATGCCCTATAACTCTGAATTTATCCAATTTATTAACTGACTTTAAAACCGCAAGTATCGCAGTTTAATTCAGAGAACTAAAGCTGCATTACTGCATTTACTGCATTAATTCAAGCAAGAAGGCATTCATTTCCGGACCTTATTCATTTTTATAACTTTATTCCGCTATTGTCACACTGAGCAGGTGCCACGTGTAGAATGGGCAGCTGTCCCACTTTTTATCCAACTGCGCAGTGAGACCATTATTATTACTGTTGTTGTCATCGTCGTCATTGTTGTTCTCTGTCCCACATGTTGAGATAATCTCCCAAATTTTGCTCTAGTTTGCAAAGGTCAGGAGTGCAGAACACACACTTTTCTAATGCAAATGAAGAAAGTAAGGCTGAGATCAATGCTGCCTATGCTATACCCAACAAGGAAAGCTGTATATAGATATTGTTATAGTCCCTCTGTGTGGCTCAAAAAGAAGTGTTCTATGTATATCTCTGACTGTAACCCCAGTAAAATACAGTAAAATCCAATGTATTTATATTTGCAACATATCCTTTACAAATTCCAGTGTCTTTGTTCCACATTAAGTTTGGTCACACTTGCCACATGTGACTACAATTAACAGCATTTTTCTTATACAGAAAATCTTTTTGTTTTACAAATAGTTAACTTTATTCACTCTTTCTTTTGTCTTATTTTTCTTCTCTAGCTTTCCTCTTTTTTTTCCTTTCTGTAAATGTGTGTGTGTGATTGACTGCGTGTGCACCTCCTCTCCCAGTTCAGTCCAGTGTTCCATACTGGGTTTGTGTGCAGGCTGAGGAGGCAGATCAAAGCAGTGCCGTTACCCATTCCACCCTCAGCTTCAGCGCGGCTGTGTGGTGGAAGAAGTCCCTGCTACAGATAAGCCAAACAACCTGTGTGGCCCAGTGCTAGGACCACTGACTGCACACAGTTTCATATTTGTAAATTTGTTAAAGTTTTGTGAGAAAGCAGGCAATATGTCTGCGCTTGTGTGGGTGAGGGTTTTTTTTTTTTTGCATGCTTGTTTTTTTGATCTGTCATGTCAAAACCAGATAAGGGTGTGTAATTGCCATTAAATAGTTGGCAACTGGTGGCCTAGAAACTGAAACTGGTGCCTAAACTCACAATTGTTTTGTTTTGCTCACTTTCTGCTTGTCAAGGTCCTCTGTGTGTGCTACCTGCCAAAAGATGGCGCTAAACGATAGGAAGACAGAAGCTGACGTCATCAGTCGTTGAAGGTCAACAGATAAGCTGTGGGAAACTGTCACTGCAAATCAGTCCTGTTAACAGCTATAATAAACACGACAGTCAAAAAGGGTGATTTTAAAACATTTTCTCAGGTGAAACAGTACAATAAGCTGCACCTGCTTTTACTGCATTGAAGTTTTTACTGATTTCACTGGAACACAGCTGAAATTAGCATAAAAAGTCAAAAGATTATGCAAGTGTCCTAAATTGTGTAATGATTTATCATATGTTTCAACTTTGTACAGATTTTTTGTTTTTAAATAGAAAGAAAATTATTTTTGTATTACATTTCAAATAATAAGAAGCACAGATCAAATGTTTTATACGCTTTGAACAATGTTTAGTGTTCGGCTTAAAGCAAGGAAAATACGGAGTTGTTGTCTGAATGTGATACACACTGAATTAAAGTTATCATTTTTTCCACTTTAACATATTGTCATAAGTGTTTGTACTGTGAAGATTAACAGTGTTATAAGGTCATCTGCTGTAGACCTACTTTACTATATGTAGTCCAAAGAGTCTGCGTCTCAAGAGTGTTCCAGCAGACACAGAACCAGGGTCCAGTTTCGCAAAGCTATTTTTACCCCGTCTTAATTTTGTTACTGCACAAGTGTAGCTTACTCAAAGGCTAAACAAAATTAGTCACCTTCACGCCAGTTGAACTGAGCTGTATTTCCATGTAAACAACCAGTGTCACCTAGCCACCAGCTTTTCATGTTCCCATCAGTGACCGCTTCATCAAATGACTAAACATGCAACATATGATTGAGCCTCATTCTATACGGATCAGTTAAGCCCTGTCTACACTTAAGTCCATTAAACGGTGCTGAATCTAAAGTAGTAAGTGCTGTAATTGGTAGTTGCTTCAACCACAAACCTCAAAATTAAGAAGTTTCATGGGAGTCCTGTCTGTCATCGCTTGCAGTTACTGGATCTTACTGACTTTCTATTAACTATCAAAAAAATCATATTTTACATTTAAGCCAGAAGATTTGTATTGTAGGCTGATTATTTCATATTCATGCTTTTCCTGTTGTGTAACAGTGGCATTGTGGGGGTGGGGGTGGAGTTGTATATATTTGTTAATTAAATAAATAAAAACACATAGCTGCTAATCAGTTCCCATGTGGAAAGTGAGAGCTTCACTACTGGCTTGAAATGAGGTCAGTGATATCATATGTATTGTAGATTGATACAAAGGATGATATAATACAAAAATTGAAAGCAACAACCTGCAGCTGTCATAAAGAGGTCTGCATAGATCACACAGCATAAACACAAATACAACAAAAGGCTAAAAGCTCATAGTTTAAATAATTGTTTATAAAACACCTGTAATTTATTTTATGGTGTCGCTTGATTATAACTGAAATCCGTGAAAAACGAATCCTTTCATTTATAAAATGCCTCTCAAATCTGATTTGGATCATCCATCTCCATCTTACCCTGTTCTTAGCATCCTCCTCTTACCGACCCTCTCTATGTCACTACATCTGTGGACCTCTGTATTTCCTTTTATTGTCTGTTACCAAATGTAACTCCAGCGCCCACCCCACCTCCACCCCCAAAAGAAAAAAAAACCTGAATTGGATAAGCGGTTAAGAAAATAGATGAATGGATAAATGGTTGGCTGTATGAATAAGGCCTATTTTCTTTTCAAGATAAAGTGAATGCAGTGTCATTCGTAGCCACAGCAGGCCAGTGTTGGATCACAAAAATACTTCAGAGTGCCTCTTTCTATTCAGTCTGAGCTTCCAATATAATATGTGTGAAAATAAAGTTGAGGAGAATAAAATCAGGAAAGACAGTGTCATATATGACATTGACCATTTTTTTTATATTGCATACGTGCATAACAAAGGGATTTTGTGTTTTTTAAATTGGCTTAAGGAAGTAAAATCAGCCTTAAGTCACTTATATGTTATAAATGTGTAGTAATGGGCCAGTGAAAATTTTAAAAGTAATGATAAAGAGTGAAATGCAGCTCATTTAAGTGTTTAAACACTTAGAGTACATGAGCCAGGGGAAAGCAGCACTATAGTTTAATTATCCTGGTTTATTCTTGATAAAACTCCAAGCTCTGGGCAGGCTAGTCAGTTGTCCATGCCAGTTAGTTATTATGCATTGTTGGCTATAATATCTTTGTATTTTTTATTATTACATTTGTAAGTTCTGATTTCAATTCAGGTTAGTTTCATCTTATTTGTAGTGTTTTTTTTTTCTCCTGTCTGTTTTGTAATGTTTGGCTTTTGTAATGTTTGTATTTGTTTTCAGTAATTTTATGATGCTCAAATGGCCATGCAAGCGTTACAATAGA